GCACATGAAATACTTCAAAGAATCAACAACTGGGATCTCATTCTACTGAAAAGTTTCTGCACATCTAAAGAAATCACCAGCAGAGTAAAAAGAAAACCCACAAATTGGGAAAAAAACTTATCTGACTATCCCTTGAACGAAGGACTTCTATCTAGAACATACAAAGAATTAAAAACATCAGCCCCCCCCACTCAAAGACCCAAGCCAAAAATGGGCAGCTGAGATGAACACACTTCTCAGATATATACAAATGGCAAATAAACACATGAGAAAATGTTCAACATCATTAGTCGTTCGAGAAATGCACATTAAAACAATACTGAGATTTCATCTCACCCCAGTAAGAATGCTAGCATTAAGAAATCAACCAGTAACAAATGCTGGCGAGACTGTGGAGAAACAGGAACTCTTCTCCACTGCTGGTGGGAATGCAGACTGGTGAAACCACTGTGGAAATCAGTTTGGAGATGCCTCAGCAAACTGGGTCTAGAGGTCCCATTCAACCCAGCTATTCCCCTTCTGGGTATTTTCCCAGAAGATCTAAAAATATTGTATCACAGCAATATATATGCACCTATGTTCATAGCAGCACAATTTGTAATTGCTAAACTGTGGAAGCAACCCAAATGTCCATCCACTGAGGAATGAATAAAAAAATTGTGGTACTTCTATTCAATGGAATATTACTCAGCTATAAAGGAAGATAAACGTGAGGCTTTTACAGGTAAATGGTCACAACTAGAGACCATACTCATAAGTGAAATAAATCAGACCTGCATGTGCAAGCACCACATTGTCTCACTAGTGTGAGAAACTGAAAGAGTGAATAAAAATTAGGAGGTATAACAGACATTGTGAAAGGAAAGGAAAATGCTCAAAAGTAAAGAGCAACTGGGGTGAGGGAAATGGGAAAAGAAAGAAGGGGAAATTATGTAAGTACGTATATACAAGACAGCTAACATAGTTGTATTACTGTCTTCTATTGCTCTACAGAAAGGAACAGTTAATGATTACCTATTTGATCAATCTTGCATGTCTCTATTTGATTTCCTGAGAAACCACTTTGAAGATATCAATATGTAATACAACAACCATTGTTAATTTCCCTTCCACTCTGTCTGTAACTCTATATTGCTTGTATTGTTCTTATGCTGTTATGTAAATGGATGTCTGTTTGTTAATATGTTATCCTTTTATTTTTTAAAATAAATTTTTAAAAAATGAAAAAAATTACGTGGCGAATAATTAGAAACTAAAACAAAAAATAAGAGAAATTAAATCCTTATTTGAACACGCAATTACCACAATGTCTATACACCGTACAGGAGAAAAGCTCTTCCAGCAGAAGATGGAAAGAGAAATCCACTTGTAGTCACAGGGTACAGCAATGGAGCCCAAGGGTAACAGATGTCCAGGGAGGAAGCTAGACCACAATTTCTCTTGCAATTCCACTACACTATATTTACAGACCACAGTCCCTGAGGAACTCAAGAGTAAGGATACCAAAATGCTATTCTTTCCCAAAGTGGTAATAATTGCGAAGGGAAAAAGGCACAGGAGGACATTTTTAAAAGGTGTATAATGGTGGTAGAATTAAAGAACAAATTGATCATTTAGGAAAAACACTAAGTGTTGAGATTATAAATTGAGATAAAGGGGCTGGAGATATCATTCAGCGGCACATTGTCTGCTAGGCAAGCATGAGGTCGTGAGCTCAACTCCTGATACCAAAAAAAAAAAAAAATTACGTAAATTACGTAAATGTGACCACACAGTACACGGTCACACGCAAGCGCTTTGTCCTGCTGTTTACGGCGCACACTCCCTGCAAGCTCCTCTGGTGAGAAGTTACCTGCTCGCTGTAGTGCCTGACCACACTCCACACAAGCTGGTCTCTCTTGTAAAACTGGTACCGCACCTCATAGTAAGCAAGTCTGGGAGGAGACAAAGAAAATCCCAGGACGCTGAGATTATATTCTGTGATAAAAGAACCTAAAATTTCAGTAATAGCTAATTCTAGCCACAGTTAATTCTTTCATACTTAACCTTGTACTGACACAACTTATGGCTGACGTCTTAATATGACAGCAACAAAATGACTGTAAAAATGGCGCATTCTCATCTAAGCTTCTGATAAATATGTGAAAGAGTAAGCAATTTTTTAAACTAAACCACAATCTCACCACTCTAGAAGTTTTCTCCTTGTTTCCCACTTTTAACTCTTTTCTATGCAATTATATTTACAATATTATCTGTGCCACCTTTACATTCAAGCATTGTGGATAAATTTCTCTTGTTATCTTCTAAGTTCCATGAAGTCACTGTGGGCACACAGCACGTATTGCCGTTCCACGTGACAGTATTAGAGTGATCGACTCCTGCCCTGTCACACAAATCCAGTATAATATTTAATGCTGCCACATGTTGAATGTAACGCTCTGGCTGCTTTTCAAGATTATTGTTTGGGCTAAACTCCCAAAATAGAAGTACTGAGTGACAGACCACAACAAACAGACTTTTGGGACTGGGGATTTAGCTGAGCAGCACAGCACCTGCCTGGCAAGGGCGAGGTTGTCAGTTCGATTTCCAGTACCGGAAAACAAACAAACAAACAGACTTTTGATAGTTGCCTAATTTTTCACTTACACCAACAGCATGAAAAAGTGTCTATTTCTTAGACCCACCCCGTCTAGTAGGAGCATCACTCACATTTTGAAATGTGATAATTTGTACTAATTTGCATGTACTTTTGATAAATACTAAAAATAGACATTTTAAGTACTGACCAGTCACTTATCTTTCCTTTTTCTGAGATACCTCTTATTGTCCATGGCTATTACACCACTGGAATTTCAGGAATGGTTAATATTAACTCTATTAATCATCTTTGCATCATGTGTCATTGTATTTCCCCAGCTTTTGTTTCCATCTTCCTTGATTTTACTAAGAAATATTCAGTTTTTAATGTCATCCAATCTATTTTGTATTTTCCACTGAGATTTTCTCATTGCTTTTAAGCTCAGATTTCCTCTACTCACAAATCTGATAACACTTAACATTTTTTCCAAGGCTTTTCACTTTGAATTTTACATAGTATTTTATCCTTTGTTTCCTATGAAACTTAGCAGTATACATGTGAGATGGAAATAATCTGAAAGAATTTTCTCCCAGCTGCTTGTCCCAATACCACTGTCAAATATTCAGCGCCATAAACAGTTATTGAATGTGTTTCTATCTGGCATACACAAGTATCTTCATATTAAAGGTAGCAAGAAGTTCTTCTTCCTATACTTTACTGGATGGTTACAATGAACTCTCATCCCATTGCTGTATATTTCTAAAAACAGTAAAATAATTAAATTTTTATTCCACATTCAGATTATGTAGATATGGGTAATCAAAAAAAATGACTCTTCACCCTTATTGTTAATAAAATAAACATATCTAAAGACCATTCTCAAAAATGAACCAAATTCTTCAAGTAGTAAGAGTTATCAATTTCCTATGCTAATATTAGAGAAATAAAAAAAAATTAGTATCTAGAAACCCAACCTTGCTATAAATGGCTTCCAATATACTGGAACATACGCCTTACTTGAATATAAGGTCATCCACATCGGTCAGAGTGGCACCTATGCTTTTCAGCAGCAGGTTGACTGAATTAATCGCAATCATTTCCTGTTTGTCTGATTCTTCACCTCCAGAACTCAAAGACAGACTCAAATGCAACTAAAAGAAACATAATATTCAATAAACAAAAGTGAGAAAAAGAAAAAATTCACATAACAGGAACCAGATGTTCCAATCTAGTATGGCAATTGTACGTATCTTTCAAGTAAAGCCCTGCTGGAACCTGTTATTTATCCTGTACACACATAAAAAACAACTCACTTATATCTGATTCTCATTTAATTTTTGATAAAATACAAGTGGTCCAACTCAGAGCTCTGTTTTCATTCCAAATATATAAATACCCTTGAGTCATTATGAAGGAAGCAAAAACCCTGTATAAAAAGGGAATGATTATTTTAAGAAGAAAACATTAACTGGTACACAGTCCGCCAGCCAACACAGGAAATTATCTGTTTTCATCCGCGGCAACAATTAACGGTACAGTCATGTCATAACTACACCGTGAAAACAACCGGCAACGGCACGACAATTACGGAGCAAGTAGTGAGCGGCCAAACACACACCTGAGGCCAACCCGGCTTTGTTCCCACTGTGTCCCCAGCTCGGTGCTCAAACAGGGGATTCTTGGCTCCCATTTGGCTCCCACTTTTCCAACGGCAACATCAGTGCAATAGGGCAGGAAGACACGGGCAAAGGGAGCTCAACACATGTGCACAAAGCAGATGGCTTTCCTCTCTCCTACACTCCCTGGACATTTTACCTAGCCTATCTGGCGCTATATAAAGTGGACCTGACACAAGCCCAGGAAAGCCCAGTTTTATGCTTTCTTTCACCTTCCCCTACTGCGGAAGACCACCCACGTGCAGCGTCAGTAAGTGTAGGGAGCCAGCAAGCGCTGGGCTCTACTTCTCCCTAAGCCAAAGTCAACATGGACTATAAAAGTAACTGTGGTTCATAATCTTCATTATTCTACAGGATGGCATAATTCCCAGTGTGTCCAAGAACACAAATAGCCCAATTATCAATCTTAATATTCCCTCAGATTATAAATTCCACGAAGTCATTTTATGTCTGAACAGCAATTTGGATAACAGGCACTCAGTAAATTTTGTTGAAATTGTTTAATCCCATGAAGAACTGATTTTAGGGGGCTGGGGATTTAGCTCAGCGGCAAAGCGCCTGCCTGGCAAGCGCAAGGTCGTGAGTTCGGTTCCCGGTACCAGAGAAAAATCAAAAAAAAAAAAAAAAGGAACTGATTTTAGCTTACTAATGAGAAAGAACCTATACAACCTATCACAAAAAAAAAATGCCGATTTTAAACCTGATATTATGCATGTGTCTGATACCATCAAACTAACATATCATTTTAAAACAATAATCCTATTTTATAAAACCATCCATTTAAGCTCAATGGACTGGTGAATGCAATTGAAAATAAAGTGTTGTAAACAGTTTTTGAGAATGTAAAGGATCATCAATATTTTACGGAGTTTCTTAATTATAAATCTGGCCCATTACACAAGTTTACAGCATTATGGTTGATAGGATTTGTAAACTTACTAAGTAGCCACCTTTCCCTGTAAAAGCTAAAAAGAATGAAAGGGGAAAAGGAAATGGGTTCATAAAGTACAAAATCAGGCAAGTGAAAGGTATCCAATTTTCCACTCCCTCAGTTACAATCAAATTTTGGAAAGGGCAAAAACATCACATCAACAGTATAATACCAACTTCAGCGTTTTCACGTTCTGGGTAGGGCACCCGTTATAGCTTTCTGTTTAGACAGTGACAGTAGTTACAAAGCGCAACCAAAACATTAGACGTTGGTGAGCACTTCGACACTTCATTAAGAAATGCCTTTGTCAGCTCCTTCCTGGAGTACGGGTTATTAATCCCAGACTAGAGCACAAGCTCTAGTGGTTTCTCTGTGGGAACTGTGACTGTACACCTGTTACAGGGAGCAGTCTTAATTATTACCATGAATCAGAGGAAGTTCTCACCAAATATTTGATGTAACAAATTAAAAAACTTGTACACACACCCTTTAAATGTCCTAGAATAATTACATTAAAATTTTGAAATAATAACAAACCTTAATAGGAGAAATGTGGAAATGTTCAAAGAAACTGAGAATCGACATGTCAGTCATTGACGTCTCCATTAATTCTGCATTTAGAGCTTCGATATCTTGTTGGAGTAACTGTGTCTGAAAAAAAAAGTGTTTCTTTTAACTTTTTTCTGTATTACAATCATCTTTAAAACTAGCTGATTAAAGCATCTTTCTCACAGTTCTCCCTTGGAATAAAAACATTACCCGTTTGCTTTCAGCATCAGGGTCAGTTGCTGGGGTGAACAGGGCAACAACAGCCCCAAGAAAGCCCTGGTCCACTTTTAAGGCCATTTCCTGAATGAGGACCATGAAATACCTGTAAGAAAAAATAAATGCTAAGATGGAAGAGGGTTTCACTCAAACTTGGTAACTTTCAATGTTAAAACCTTACTTTAATGAAAAGCCACAGTGACATATTATTTCTTCATCTCTTAAAAATTAATCAAGGCAAATCCCACTCAGGCTGGAAATTTTCATTGCAGTGATTGTTTCACTTTGGGGTAATAGTACTGTGTTAACATTCAGCACTTCAAAACCTCACAGTAGAGATGAACAAAATTAGAACATGTAGCACGTATCATTCAAATTTTAAAGTTTACCGCAACTGCTTTAAAGAACATAGCTCACAAATACACATACCACTTGTACGTCATTATTTTATACTCTCATTGGAATTACAAATGAAGGTGATGGATGGAATTCTACATTTTAAAATATGTATAGGCTATTATTTAAAAAGTTAAGAGTAACTTTAAGTTACGTTAAAAGTAATTCCTTGACCAAAAGTCGATTCATATGTCCAGTTGGAAAACAATTTTATACAGAAATCACTTTCAAAAAGAGTAAGATTTATTTTCAAAATAAATTCTCACTTTAGATTCCTTTAGGTAAACAGTGAAAATATTTACTCACTTGAACTGTAAAACTTTACTGTATTCATTAAATCTGGTGATGACACTCACATCAATGAAAGGTTTGGGCTCTGAAGGGAAGAATACAGCAGAAAAAAATAAGTTTTATACAAGATTAAATTAATGTCTACTTAACTTTTATGAACAACATATGCTTGTATTTCTTTTTTAAATTTTTAAAGAGAAAAGAACATGAACAAAATAACAAAAACAAAGACAAAAACAAAACAACACAAAAACTATAAAAACAATACAGAGTTTCAAAACAAGATGACAGGAAATCAACAACAGTTGTTGTATTACTTATTGTTATTTTCAAAGCAGTTGCACAGATTACCAGATAAAGGCATGCAAGATTGAACAAACAATTAAATATTAACTGTTCCTTTAAATAAACCGATAGAGGGGCTGGAGATTTAGCTCAGCGGCACAGCGCCTGCCTGGCAAGCACAAAGTTGTGAGCTCGATTGCCAGTACCGGAAAAAAAATAAAATAAAATAAAATAAACCGATAGAAATTAGCAGTACAATTATCTTAGTTCTCGTGTGTGTGTGTGTGTGTGTGTGTGTGTGTGTATTTGTTTATTTCCCTTCTTATTTTTCTTCTTTCCCTCATCAGTTGTTCTTTCCTATTACGAAGTTCCTTTCCCTTTCACAATATCTATTGTACCTTTCAGTTCTGTTTACTCTTTCAGGTGTGTTTCTTTTTTTTACCTGAATCCAAAGCAATGGACTTTGGAGGAGCCACAGGATGAAATACAACAGGGAACATTGTACCTGGTAACTGATTATCAATCTGGAAAAAAAGACAACAACTTACATTTTAACTGAACTTTTAGTGTTAGAGATAGGACTACAGAAGAAGCCACTACTTTCATCATAATCGAGCATCTGCTTGTACATGTGGTATTTTAAAATCTGTAGAACTTCTTATATACCTCAGCAGGGGGCAAGCATTTATATAAAATATACAAATTCCCGCATATCTGCACTAACATGTACACTATTAGTGCAAATATTTGAATCTGTTGATCCTGTGAGATTTCTATCTATGGTTTCAATAAAGTGTAAGTAGACTATGAAACCACAGAATACAAAGTAAACAAGAAAAAAAAAGAAAATGTCTTAAAGAACAACTTAACAGTTAAAAGGAAGGAAGCAAAGAATGAGGCTGAGAGAGAGCAATCAACCATCCAAAAGCAACCTCCAGCACAGCCCCACCCTCTGCCACGAAGAGTAACAAAGGAGCATCTCCCTTGGTGACATCTCCACAAACGTAAGGTGCATTTAAATAACTCATCTCAGTGCAAGGAAGCCCTCTTGCAGGTTAACTGGACCGACTCAGCCGTTTCAAGAATCACATTGTCTTTGAGTGCAGACTGTAAGGGAGGTATTGACTCCACAAGATATACAAAGGAAGGGGAAAAAATACAAACAAAATAAGAGATGCCAATTTCTTTTTTTCATTACTTTAGTGCTGGGGACTGCACCTGGGGCCTCATATGCCCAACCACTGCCCTACACTTGTCGCCCCACAAAACACACCAACTTTAATTATGAAAAGAGAGGGCCAGGGATATAGCTCAG